GGAACCCTGGGTAGGAGAGCTCTGACTGCCACGTAAGCACCCTGGTATGTATGTATATATATTTTGGTTTTTTGAGACAGGGTTTCTCTGTGTAGCTTAGCGCCTTTCCTGGAACTCACTTGGTAGCCCAGGCTGGCCTTGAACTCACAGAGATCTGCCTGGCTCTGCCTCCCAAGTGCTGGGATTAAAGGTGCCCGGCGCACCCTGGTATAATTGCACCAGGACACACACCTACAGCACTAATAACAAATATGACTATGTTTAAAATATTTGTATGGGCTGGTAGAGTATTTATCAGTGATAGGTCACTTTGCTTAGATGTGCAAGACTTGGGTTCAAACCGCAGTACCAACATACACATACTGGATCTTTTGAAAATATGTGGTCTAGTTCTCTGTATAATACAGGGGAACCAAGAGGAAAATCAATTTTAAAAATTAAGTTTTAATTAGATTATGTGTTTATTGTGTGTATACATTCATGTGTGTGGGCTTATACTCACGTATGTCTGCACATTGGGAGGCCAGAGACCAGAGCTGAGTGTCTTCCTCTACTGTTCTCCATCTTGATTTTGAGACAGGGTCTCTCACTGAAACTGGAGCTCACCAATGTGACTAGACTGGCCAGTCCACAAGGCAAGGGAATCCCCAGCACCGGGATTATAGGTATTCTCCACACCCAGCTTTTAGTGGGTGTTGGAGAGCGGAACTGAAGGCCTTTGTTTGCAGGGCAGGTACTTTATGACTGACTGAGTAATCTCTCTAGCCCCTAAAGTAATCTTGAAACTGGGAAATAAAAATCATATATATTTATGACTAAAATGTGTTGTTTGGATATATCTATAGCTTCTGGGATGGTAAAAATCAAGCAGTTTTAGCATATGTAACACAAGCTTATCTTTTTTTTTTTTTTTTTTTTTTTTAAAGACAAGGTTTCATATATCCCAGGCTGGCCTCTAACTTGATAGCAGGAAAAGATAGACGACCTTTAGCTTTGGATCTTCCTGGCTCCTCCCCCGAGTGCTGGGATTATAGGCATGAGCACTATGCCTAGTTTTAGGTGGTATTAGGGACTGAACCTATGTCTTTTTGTTTGCTTGGCAACCTATTGAGCTACATTTCCAGCCCACATGCTTATCGTGTGTGTGTGTGTGTGTGTGTGTGTGTGTGTGTGTGTGTGTGTGTGTGTGTGCGCGCGCATGCGAAGGTGTAGTAAGAACACTTAAAATGTATTCTCAGTAATTTATAATTATATATATTGTTATTAACTGTAATAATCATGAAGTGTAAAAGTATTGATTTCTTCTTCTTCTTCTTCTTCTTCTTCTTCTTCTTCTTCTTCTTCTTCTTCTTCTTCTTCTTCTTCTTCTTCTTCTTTTTTTTCCGAGACAGCGTTTCTCCGTGTAGCTTTGTGTCTTTCCTGGAACTCACTCTGTAGACCAGGCTGGCCTCGAACTCACAAAGATCCGCCTGCCTCTGCCTCCCGAGTGCTGGGACTAAAGGCATGTGCCACCACCGCCTGACTGACAATGCTCTTTTTTAAAAAAACTTTATTTTTATTTATTCTTTGTGTCTTTCACATCCCACTCATCTGCCCTTTGCTCCTGCGACCTCCCCACCCCCAATAAAACAAAAATAAAATTTAAGATAAAAAAGGGGGAAAAAAAGAGAAAAACCTCGTTATGGAAGCTGCAGTGTGACACAGTGAGTCACGCAGTAAACCCCTTTATCCATACATACATCTTTATATTCAGGCCTTCATCGCAAAGAATTATTGGTTCGGTTCTAGGCGCCTGATCTCTGCTGCATTATCGATACTGGGTCCTCACTGCGGCTCTCCCTGGACATCCTGTTTCTGCCCTGTGTTGTGGGGCTCCTGTAGCCCTGGGTCTGCAGGACGCCCCCCCCCTCCAGCAGATCACAGATGAGGTGCATGTGGGGTAGGCCAACACTTAACCCTGGTTCTGGGCCTGGGGAGTTGTAGGGCTGGTCAGTCCTCCAGCTCTCCTGTCTCCATGACCAGGGTGAGTTTTCCGGCCTTGCCCTGACTCGTTCACCCCTAGCAGCGATAAGCAAGGGGCGGGGCCAGTTCTCAGCTCTCAGGCTTGCAAGCCCTCAGGGTCGGTTCTGCCATACCCACACCTTCAGGGGCCAGCTCTAGTGTGTTGCCCAGGCTAGTATAGGGGCCACTCCCCCGGCCAAGTGCTGCAAGTTGACAGGAGCAGGAACAGTACTCTTATGACCTCAGAGCCAGGTCTCCCACCTGAGGGTGGATGATATCTCCCCCACCCCGCCCCCGCCCATGCCACCAAATAACCTATGAGTAATGGGGACAACTCTCTTATCCGCCTCAGGTGTTGATGGGGGGGGGGGGGCGGGCAGACAATGTTCTTAACTGTTGAGCCATTGCTCCAGCCCCAGTCAGCATAATTCTAAATAATCTTTAAAGAAATACATGAGGAAAGGCTAATTTAAAATAATACAAAAAGGTATACACGCTTATTTTGTCACTTTTTTGTTTTGTTTGGTTTTTGGACACAGACTGCCAGTGTAGCCCAGGTTGTCCTCAAACTCAAGGTCCTCCCGCTGTACCTCTAGAGTGCTGGATTTAAAGGTCCGTGCCACACCCAGCCAATGTTCCCTTCCATTGCTAAAGTTACTACTTGGGATCTTCAAGCAAAAGTCAGGTTTTTTAATATTGCTTAAGAAGCGAGGCCGACAGAGCAATGGATGGTAAAATTCTAGTCAGAACCAAGTGTAACATCCACGAGTATTCTGGCTCCATTCCAGCGTGAGTGGTTCACATTCTCCAACTTCAAAATACTTTTTATTATTAGCCAACACTTGTCCATCCCAGCAACATACACAACACATAAAGTGTAGAGGCCTCCCTTGGCATGTTGGCAGGCTGTACATATTTTCCACTCAGGATTCCTTCCCTTTTCTGATGACTGTGGCATAGTTTTTCACCCTCCACGAATTCCAAGCCTAGGTTCTTTGTAGATCTTGAGTGCCAAGCAGTTACTAAGAACAAAAGAGATTAAATATGAACACCTATAGAATTCTGTAGAAAGCGGAGCAACTCACATTTTAAACATTTATTAATAGCCGTGGTGTCCATGAAGAGACGGTTTATTCCTTTTTAAACTTTGTGACTGAGATTAAAACACACAGTTTCATTAGCGTCCACAAAGCCTCTTGATATACAGAAGGTGGCTTTTCCCCCCACGTACAAATGGCACAGAAAATGACAGGAAGACCCAACAGACCTCAACCTCTGAGGCCAGTCCCAAGTCTTTCAAGTATCCTTAGGCCCTCTCCCTATTTCGAATTTTTTCCCAACGGAAGAAGGGGGGGGGGGAGGAGCAGTATACAATTTAAAAGCCTCTTCATAAGAGTGCGAGTGAATTCCAAGTATGCTGAACACCTCAGTCTCCCAACCTAATTAGAGCGCGTAGAAAAGCGGCATTTGTGGGACATTTAAAACTTGCAGCATGCTAGCTCATCGGGAGAGCGCCACTGTGTGTCCCTGCTGTGACTGCACGCAGCAGGTTCTCTCTCGCAGTCCGGGATGCCCCCCCTCCCCGGAGGGGTCCCAACCTGGCCAGAGTGCGCGGCCGTCAGCCCCGGGTGACCCAGCACCCTGAGCCATACCCTGTCCCAGCGGGCGACTTAGTACCTTAGACTGCTGAGGACTAGCATTTCTAGTGACTTCCAAGACGGAGAGAAATTCACTCTCTTGTCACAACAGTAAGATTTTTTGTTGCATTTACGAAAGCGCAAAGCCTGGGCGATATCGGTATTTCCAAGGGAGGAGGGTGGGTGGGGGTAGTGGTTAAGACTGTGAACGTCCAACTTCTGGTTTCAGATTCCAGGTTTGCCACCGGAACGCCTACTGTGTACCAGGAGCTCGCACAGGGAGGAGCACAAGCTTTGCCAGACTCTCTGCTCTCTTGCTAGCTCGGCTGTGCAGGTCAAGTTCCGAGGCGTCCTGGCCTTAGAACCCTTACGGGAATCCAGATCGCGTACCAAGGTGTAAACGATGAGCAAACACGCGGTTGCTCGTGAAGCACCGGCGCGTCTGTCCGGTCAGAAGGGAGACAGGTGGCACGGCCGAACGTGACCTCTCAGTTCCGCTTGTTTAAAAGCGCCGGACCTCGATAAGGGCGCTTAGCTGGAGAAGGGGGGTGGCCCGGTGGAGGCCCGGGGAGCAGGCGTTCGGAAACCAGAACCTTTCAGGAAAGCGAGTCCGATCCCGGCGGGCAGCCGCAGAGAAGAAGGACTCCAGAAGGACTTAGGACCACGTTTCCCGCCCGGCTTCTCCAGGCGGCCTCATTAGCATTGACCACGCCCTCCCCCGTCCCTTCCCGGCTCGCTATTGGTCGACGCTCTTCCGCGGCTCGCTCGGGGCGGGGCCTCGGGGCTCTCGGGGAGGGGGGGAGGCCCGGGCGGATGGGCGGTGGGCGGGGCCGCACGGAGCGC